CCCGTGCGCTCTCGGTCCCTCCCTGGGAACAGGCGCTGCCCACCCAAGGAGGCGACCGGCGCTCCTGCCCCGCTGCCGCTCGCTCTCACACACACACACACACACAGACATATACACACATACACACACATATACACACACACATATACACACACCCGTGCGTGCGCCTCTCGCTCCCGCACTGGAGTCAGTGCTTGTGCCTGCAGGTTGCTCAGACCTGAAATCTAAGGGAAAAGCTCAGCGTTTGCGTCGCTCCTGCCGCCGGTGGTGGTAGCGGTGAAGAGGAGAGAGGGTTGTGGGTTTTTTTTTTTTGCTTGGTGGCTTTTTTTTTTTTGGCCCCCTTGAATTCAATGGATCTGAACTTGGAGCCTTTAGACCTCGGCGGTATTGGAATATCTACATGCTGATCATCTTTGTTGTGACACATCAAGTCGTTTGGGGAAACCATCCGAAGACGGCAAGATGTTTCTCGTTCTCTTGTACTTCGCTTTGCCCTTAGTGGGTAAGTTGCCGGTGCCTGATTTCGGTCTGCACATCGCTTCATAAAGCAAAGAATAGGGTTTATGGGACCGGCAGCCTGATGGTTGTCAGTCTATTGTTTAGGCAGAACAGTGAAGTTTCCAGTAGTTTTTATGGCTCTGCCTCACATCGGTTTACCTGGTCTAGGTTTAAAGCTCTGTCAGGTTACAGACTCCGCTACTTGCCTGTCTAGCCTCCTGTTAAATTGGGTTCTCGCAAGTTACAGGGAAACTTTTCATTTAAATAAAATAAGGCTGCCTGGGGAGGGTGGGGGATGACAAGACCAGCTGAAGGATTACATCTTCACCTACAGCTGGCAGCGTGCCCGACTGGTAGTGGTTTGCAGCCCAAACTGGTTTCCTTTCCACAGAAGAGGTTTGCGTTTCCATCCGCATGTGTCTGAGGGAGCATGACAGGGGCACGATGGAGAGGAGAGAGTTAATGCAATTTGCTTTGTTCTCCTGCAAAAGCATCATACGTGGAGAGAAGTGGGGAGGGGGAAGTAGCAAATTCTACCTTTATACGTATAGAATAAGCAGAAATGTGTACAGGTTTTAAAAAGTGACTGACGCAAAGATAAGCTAGTATCAATCAGTGAGGATACTTATCTCCCTGAGCGGGTTGTTCCTGGATGGAAGTGAAATTACGGCAAAGCTCTTGTGGAAAGTAAGGCTGAATATTTAACCCTTCAGTTAAACCCTGGAATGGAAAACTGATGTTTTTCACCAAAGTGGTTAATGGTATATGGAATAACAAACGCTCCTTTTGTCAGGCACATTAACCCCTCTGGGTTTTCTTTCCTTTTTGTGTTTCCTCATAAATCAGCCATCAGGGTTAAAAAATACCGTTTCCTTGGACTCCCCCCGAAAGTGGATCTAAGCCCATGGAAACCCTGTGTGCTTTTTCCTAAAGCGTAGCAGGAAGCCGGGAGGTTTGCGAGATGCTGGGCTGGCTGCATGAGCGGCGCCAGGAGGTGCCCCCTGCTCCCCAGAGCTCTCCGGAGCTCGGCTGCAGGCCGCCCTCCTCCCCCAAAGAGCGCGGGTTGCTTTGTGTCTCCTCTCCATAGATGTACTTTTGTCTGCAGAAGTGAGTTCGCTGCCTGGAGGGGACCGCCTGGACTGCGTGAAAGCCAGCGATCAGTGTCTGAAGGAGCAGAGCTGTAGTACTAAATTCAGGACACTGAGGCAGTGTGTAGCCGGCAAAGAGAGCAACTTCAGCCGGGCCACGGGCCTGGAGGCGAAGGACGAATGCAGAAGCGCCATGGAAGCTCTCAAGCAGAAATCCCTGTACAACTGCCGCTGCAAGAGGGGCATGAAGAAGGAGAAGAACTGCCTGCGCATTTACTGGAGCATGTACCAGAGCTTGCAGGGTACGTGGCGAAGCGCAGAAGGGCCAGCGCAGGCTGCGGGCAGCCCCAGGAGCCCCCGCCCGCCCTGCGCTGCTGCGGCTCCTCCGGGGGACCCAGCTGACCTGTCCTAACCACACTCAAAACATAGGGGCACCAGCATGGGAGACAGCCACAAAAACGGCCCTTTGGAGATATTTTCCTAATAATATTAAAACTCCTTAAATAGGACTCACCTAACGAGATCACCAGACACTGGAACTAGCTTCTCAGCCTTTTTGCTGAAAGTTAAATATAATATGAAGAGAAGATTGTTTTAAGTAAAAGTTTATTTTTTCCTTTCCTGTATTTACTAGCAGTATTCCCTGGGCATGCTGAGGCAGAAAAAAAACCCCAAAGTTTATGGTTCCTACGGCATGTAGATATGCCACTTAGAAGAGATATGACAGTGATTGATTCAGGAATCCTCTGTCATCCATATTCATGGATAAATTTCTCTTAGCCTACTGAGAACAGTCGGGTTCTCATATGAGCGACATCATTTTTAGTCCTGTTTTGCTGTGGCCCTGGAGTTGAAGGGGCAATCTCTGACTTCAGTGTGCTCTCCATTTAACTTTTTTTTTTTTTAGTTGCATCTGCAAAAAGGGAAATAATCCCTTTCTGTTCATTCATCCTTATGCTTTAACGAGTCCATACGTATTTTTTTGCTAACCGTAATAACAGACATTTTCTGCATCATAAAAAGTTTCTCTTCCAACAGCACCTTGTTAGGAATGTTTCATACTGAAGATGCCAGTTTTTGGCTGTTAGTTGAGCTTCTCTAAAAATGAGCTCTGTTATTATGGTGAATGAAGAGGAACATCCTTCTCTCCCGCTGGCATGAGATGGGACAGTCCCTGTGATGTCACAGGCTGTCTCCGCAAATTGTCACCTTACCCAAGGAAGGAGAAGAGATCTAGTGGCAGGAATAAACAATTAGCTTCTTTCAGATGTTTTTATAGGTAATTCTTTGAGAAGAAGTAGCCGTATAAACTTTTTTAAGGGATTAAAGGGGAGTACACTTCACTGTTATGGAGTAAAAGTAAACAAATCTTATAATGAATTCTTGTGTAAGAAAAAAAAATCCAAATATTTTTTGTCCTTAGGGAATGACTTGCTTGAAGATTCCCCTTATGAACCAGTTAACAGCAGACTATCAGACATATTCAGACTAGCACCAATTGTATCAGGTAAGCAGACTTAAAATTCTTTAACTGACACACGATTTTGTAATTGAATTTTGGAACTTTCGAGCAGTACTCATTAATAAAAAGAAATGATACCAGCTTCCTGGATTTAGGAAGCTCATGATATAGTTGCACAAAAGAAAAGAGTAATTGGTTTTGAAGTGAAAGAATGCTTGGCAGGATGGCAATTTGTATTCTTTTTGAGTCATTCTTGACAATAAATGCTAAATTTTCCTGTAGGTGGCAATCTGATTCCCTGCGTTCCCAATTTACAAATCAGTTCCTTTTTGGGAATTTGGTCAGTGCAAGTTATCTCCTATTGATATTATGGAAGATCAGAAGATACATCTTTCGAATGTTTGCATAAGGGAATGCTTTATGCTTTCATACCAGTTTTTTTAAAAAAGAAAATTCAGAGTTAAAACTTGTCTTCTTTTCTGGAACTGCTGCCTTTTTAAAGAGCCTATTCACAACTTCCTCATTTTTCTGTTTTCTCCTTGTTGCAGTGTGGCTGCTTTTCAGAACTTTTTTGTGGTATGTAGGGTTACAGATTGGAATTTCATTTCTTTTTAGGAGCTTCAGGAAGTGTTTTTTGAGGATGCAGTCTGTACTCTGGATTTTTATTTGTTTAGCTCCATAAAACAAATCAAATGTGCAGGGTACAGTGTGTAAGTTGGACAGTGCTGAAGCTGTGCTTAACTGACACATTATGGATAAGCATTAGGAGATGCCTCTTTAAAAGAAAGGAAAAAAAAAAAAGACCAGAGAGAGTGGCTTGACCAATTTTCAGATGTACTTACACTTTTTAGGACTCAAAGTCCCATTAAAAGCCAGAGGGACCTAGGTTGTTAAGTATTTAATGGTACAGATTTTCAAAGGCATATAGACACATAAAATGTAGATAACTGCCCATTGGGATTTTCAAAAAGGACTAAGTGATTTAAATAGGCGTTAGATGCCCAGGCAGTTTCGAAAATTTTAAGTGCTTAATGCATCTTTAGGTATCTTAATGCCTTTGAAAATCGTCCCTTTAGTCACTTTTCGATATCTGACTTCAGATCCTTATCCCATACATCTTTTGAAAGCATTGTCCCATTTGGTGAGCAAGGCTGTTGGAGAAATAGTAGAGAGCAAAGATAAATCTCTGAAGAATCTTTATTTTATTTTTTATTGCTTTAAACTCCAACTTAATATAAAACCAAGACAAAATCAGTGCAGAGGAGTTCCAGGCTTAAGGTTTTCTTGAAGTTTATGATCAGTCTTCCTGGAGCCAAATTCTAACCTACCTCAGCAGTTTTGTGATCTCCCTGTCTGCATTCGGCCTTTCTGTTGATTGTTGGGTTTTGTTTTTTTTTTTAGATTCCCCATTTATTTGCAGAATAATTACCTTAAAAATGTAATTTTCATGCACCTATTCAGTGTAAGAGTGAAGTAGGACGTGGTTGCCAACAGGTGATGTCCATCCTACCACAGTATGGGCTCATCCCATGTTACCAGTGCACCCCAAATTGCTGCTCCCTTAGTCAAAATTTTCAGGTTTACAAGGATGGGGGGGGGGGGTCTAGAATTCATAGTGAGCAACAAACAAAAGTTGTCATGCAGTGGAAAAACACCAGTATTTGAAAGTATCATCAGCTGAAAGAAAAAGATTAGCAAAAGCATTTTGCTTATCGTCATGGTTACTATTGCATGTTATATTATTTAAAGCTCCTCAGTCTTACAGGTTTTTTGCAGAGCTCTGCAAATACGGCAGAACTTGGTAAAATTTGATTCAAATAAACAAACAACAATCCTTGTACCAGTAGTGTTGGCAGGGGTTTCATGCCTGGTGTTTTGCTAATGTGGACCTGGTGTTTATAGATGTTGCTGCAGTGTTCACGCCCATTAAAGTTAGTTGTGTGTAATTAAAAGCAGCAATTAACACTTTCACACCACAAAGCCCATTCTGTGGTACTATATGACTTGGTGTGTATCGAGTGTAATGCTTTTGCCACCTTCTCTATTTATTTTTGTGGCAGTATAGAAAATCACAGATGTTTTCTTCTGTGGTATGTAAAAGGGAAGATCATTGGCTGAGATGACTGTTTTGTGTCAGATAAGTCTTTTGTAGTGTACATAAGCCTGACAAATGAAGGACAGTTTTTAAAACCAGTTAAAGTTGATGTAATTCTATTCTGATAGATGCTCAAAATTGTTTCTCCTATGGAGACAGGATGTCACGTTCTCTTTAATTCAAGCATCAATATGTTGATTTGGATCAAAAATCAGGAATATATGGCTAAACCTGTTACTAAGTTTGAGTCTTCCCAGTTGAAAGACTGAGCTGTCTTGTTTTTTGTTTTGGGTATATCTATGTTTGAATATTTTTTTTAATCTACTATGTCAGATGTGGTGCTTCTGTGTCAAGAGTGTGAATTTCTTCCTGTTAAGCAGCTCTTGAAATTGCTGAAGACTTGTGTGTTTGTTTTGGAGGGTAACAGATTTGGGTTAGTTACTATGAAGGAAAGATTTTGCTTAAACAGACATTTTTGCTTGAACCTTTGCCACTTTTGAGAGGTGAAAACATTTTAAGGCCGTTGACTTCTGTCACAATTACAGTAAATGCAAAATCTGTTGATTGGATTTCAGAAGCGAGTTTCACACTACATTAAGGAGAGATGCTTGAATTAGTAACTTCTTAAAGCTATCTGTGGCTTTTTACTACCTGGAGAATGGTTTGCCTTTTAAGTTTGTATGGTATTTGACACTGAGCCTTGCAACTGGAAGGTATGTTATTATTTTGGTATTAGCTGATAGAGTATAGTGGTCACCTCGGCACGTTGTAAGAAAATATGCTGCATAAAAATGTAGCTGCACATACCTGTAGAAGTACTTAACAAAGTAATGTTTCTGAAATGTCTTATTCATTTCAACAGAAAAGGGAGAGCCACTACATTTGAATAAAGTGCCTTAAGCCATGTCTGTGTAGTGGTGTAAATAGAATATTCAGTGTTAAAAAGAATTGGCTCTTTAGATCAATGCATTTAGGGTGACAAAGTGCTCTCCTCTCATGGATTCACTTCTAAGTTGCCTAAGTTGTTCATAGGCTTATTATCCCATTGTTCAGCTTTGTGAATTTTCTTTGTTTTACATCCTTTATGTTTAGAAATAATCTGAAAAGAACAGGCTACATAAATCAGTACATTTGTAAAACATAGAGGGTTTGCTGTTAATCTGTGGAGAATGGGTTGGTTACACCCTGCTAGTAAGGCCTTGTTTTTAGTTGCTAAGGCACAGAACTGGTAGAAATTATTTATTTTGCCAGTATTTCTTGTTAGTGTAGTAAACTGTGCAAAGCACCTTTTACATCGTTAACAAATCAAAGAAAATGGCTGATATGATTGTATGTCAGAGGGAGTGCTCCCTGGTTCTGCTGCTCTCATGAGAGGATCTAAAAGCCCAGGGAATCTTCTGTTGTAGAAGATATGTGGAAGCTTTTATTTAGAAAAGTCCATCTTTTATATTTATTATGGTAAACTTCTAAATTAAAATGAATTCAAGACAGCACAGCATGTCAGGCTTCTTACTGGAGTGTGTCATTCCACGTTAGAATACAGCACATGAAGTTACCAGGTTTGATTTGCCCACTGAGTAAGCTGTAAGTGCAAACAGAAACAGTTATGGTCACTAAGGTGGCTTTTGACTGTATGTAAAAAGTTGAGACTAAAAAGTCAGCAGTGCTGGAATCTCAGGAGTGAGTGTGTGTGTGCTGGTGGATCTTACACTCTTTCCTGCAGGATGTATGAAAATAGCTCTGGGTCTCCCTCTAGGACCTGTCCCTTGCTCAGGAGAGTAGGTTGATCAGTAGTTTTACTAACTTGGAGTTTTTCAAAGTCTTTTAGGCATCTTGTAAAATTTGTTCACAAGTCGCTAAGTCAGTTGTGGGGAAAAAATGAATCCAGCATGCAAAACCCTTCCTTGAGGATGGGACAGACTTTTGTAAGGGAATATTTCCCTCTCCCCAGCATAAAACCTGCTCTGAGTATTGATGGCACCTATTTTCCCCACTCCCCATTATATTTTTCTACTCAGGGATGGGGTAGTGACATCACTGAGAATGAACTTCTGGTGTTTCCTTGGAAAAGTTGCCATCAGCAAAGGTGGGCAAGGAAGGTTGGGGCTTTCAATTTGAATTCCCACAATTCAGGGAAACAGAGCTTTCTTGTCTGTGTGCTTCCCCTCATACCTTCTCTTCCTGCTATTCTGTAATGTTAGAGCAAGCTGTGTCATAGTCAATTGATTTCTCCAAAACTTACATTACCCCCAAAATTCTTTTAATCAAGAATGGAGGGTTTCCCTGTTCATTTTTGTAATTCTTGCTCTGATATAAGAGCTGTGTTCTGGGTAACAAGTCCCTGACACTTTAATTATTATTTACTTATTTTTTTTCCTACCCAGTAAATGACTTTTCATTTGTAGAATCCATATATTGCCTTTTTTAGATTGTTTATCAAAAAGATAAGTTAGAAACTCTACTAGCTAAGAAATTGACTGCTTTTTCCTTTTGGGGTTTGTGGCTTGTGAATTAGTGGCTTCTTCCATGAATTAATACTGTATGACATCTCCAATTCCTATTGCCTGAGGCCTCTAATCTTGTTTCTGTTCCTAAATCTGCATGTATTTCAAATCCCATGTATTTTTCTAATTTAACACTATGTCTTTTTATAAAATTTCTTTAAGATTATTTGAGATGCCACTTTTCTACAAAGGCACTTTAATTTTAAAAAATACTAAAAATGTTGATTTCTGTCAACTCTCTGCAATGCTTTTATTAGCTCTTACACCCCATATCATTGCTGCTTAGTTAAAAAAGCCGAGATACTTCATGTCAGTTGCATTATACACACACCTGGGTTCATAAACAATAAACCAGATCTTATTAGGGTAATAGGAGTCTTGCAATCTGGTTCTGTTCCCTGTTGTAATTTTCCTTTTTTTGGCTTAGTTCTGGTTTTCTGATGTGA